AGCAAGTTCACCATTGTGCCCTCAGGGACTGTCAGAAGTATATTTCAGTGTAGGCACTCAATAAATATTTGTTGAATGAACACATAAAATCTTAGTATTGAAGTGATCCCTTTAACATACATTGTGTGGTTAAGGACTTTAGACTCAGACCTGGGATTAAATCTTGGTTCCTCTACTTGGAAGCTTGTGATTGTAGGTGATATATATTTAACTTCATCAAACCTTTGGTTCTTTATTTTTAAAAAATTATAGTGATACTATGTACTTTAAATGTTCGTGAGGACTAAATGAAATGTTTAAAAAAAAGAAACCCTTGGCACATAGATGTATTAAATACTTACTGAATTCATTCAACAAATATTTATTGAACACCACTATATAACTGAACAAAAAGACAAAGTTCCTTCCTGTGTGGAACTTACCTTCTAGTGTGCTTTCTGAAGTGGGGTCAGAAAATAAATGTCAGATTGTGATGAGTACTGTGGAGAAATATAAGATAAAGGGGGAGTGCGTGGAAGGAAGATTTTATTTTGTATAGGATAGTGAGGAATGGCTTCACTGAGAAGACAGCCAAAGGAAGTGATCAGACACCCTAAGGAAGTGAAGGAGTGAGCATAAGGATATCTGGAGGAAAGTGCAAGGACCCTGAAGGTGAAGCATCCTTGGTATGCTGGAGGAGCAGCAAGGAGGTAATTGTGACTGGACTGAGCAAGCAAAGAGAAGAGCCGGTGAGGAGGGAGGAGTAGGGAGCAGTCATGAGGTTTCTGCAGGAATACTGAAGAGATATAATGGTGACTTACTAAATTGATGAGCTGTTTATTATCATGCCCCATTATCTGACCAAAAGTAATAAAAATAGCTACAGGTATCCCCTGCTTTTTTTTTTCTTTTTTCCTCTGCCTTTTTAAAGCTTGCATTATGCCACTTTGCTTTTATGAAAGACCTGTATTCATATCTGTTTTCACTAAGTGAAAGAAATCCAAAGAGGATTTTTGCTTTTATAAAAAAGGGCAAAAACCAAAAATGATGTTCAGCATTTGTTTTGCAGTGAGCCAAAATAGAGGCAGTATGCAGTATGCGCCCCAGCAGCTAGAGTGGCACCGCCAAGCTCCTTCCCTGGGAGCTGCGCTCAGTATCTCAACATCAAGCCACCACAGCTTTGAACTGGGTCTCTGAGGACCAGTGCTTTATCTCAATTAATTTTGTGCATCCATTTGACTTTTTCAATAGAAGTATCCCGAGCCTCAGGGAATAAAGATTTGTCACTATGCATGATATACAATAGAATGTGCTCCTGGTTCAGAGAGCACTTTCTGAGGCATTGCTGAAATCAGTGAATTCAGTATCTCTGTTTGCATACTAGTTAGGTTCCAAGTCTAAAGTGACTATAGTAAGGCACCAACCAATATTTATGTATTGGATTAAGTTCAGTTTCATGGAGGCACTATAGATGTCCATGGCATTTTTTTCTTAAGATTTTATTTATTTATTCATGAGAGACAGAGAGAGAGAGAGGCAGAGGGATAAGCAGGCTCCCAAGGAGCAGGGAGCCCAATGCGGGACTCGATCCCAGGACCCTGGGATCATGACCTGAGCCAAAGGCAGATGCTTAACCATCTGAGCCACCCAGGTGCCTGATGTCCATGGCATTTTTATTACTATTCCTGCTACCTTTTTTTTTTTTTTAAAGATTTTATTTATTTTTTTGTCAGAGAGCACAAGCAGGGGGAGCGACAGGCAGAGCAGGTAGAGGGAGAAGCAGGCTCTCTGCCAAGCAAGGAGCTGGATGTGGGACTTGATCCCAGGACTCTGGGATCATGACCTGAGCCGAAGGCAGACGCTTAACCAACTGAGCCACCCAGCCCCTTCCTGCTACTTTATAGCGCTCTTAAAACTTTTGTCCACAACTTTCATTTTGGCTTTGTTTTCATTATGGATATGTCTGAATACTTTGTTTTAACAGAACGCACAAACAAGGTGAGTGGCCTAGGTGATAGGGGGCCAAGTTGAGCACTTTTACTCTAGTGGGTAGCTTTAAATAGAGTCTTTAAATAGTATGCTTATCAGAAGCTGCCATGTAGTTCTCAGCTTGTCTTTGCTTGTTGTATTATAACATTCAGTCATATTTTATAAACATCACTTCAAGTCTGCAGTTCTTCAGAGCCTGACATGGTATTGATCCTCTTTGAATTAGGTAGATTCACTGGCAAGAGGATAAAATATTTATTTTTTTAACAGTGTTTCTACTTTTTTTTTTTTTTTAAGATTTTATGTATTTGACACAGAGAGAGGGAGAGAGAGAGCACGCACACACAGGCAGTGGCGGGGAGAGGCAGAAGCAGACTCCCTGCTGAGCAGGGAGCCCAACACGGGCTCGATCCCAGAACTCTGGGATCATGACCTGAGCCGAAGGCAGACACTTAACCGACTGAGCCACCCAGGCACCCCTAAAATAGTTATTTTTGAGGGTGTTCTTTTTACTTCTGATGTGAATGATTCATTCTAATTCTCTTAGCCATCCTTATCCCAAGTCGTCATCCTGATTTTGCCTGGTTTGATTATTCAGTGGACTCAAGATGTTCTTCTCTGGTGCTAGTAGTATGTTTGGGGGCACTTGAGGCTTACTATTCCTCTTATCCAGCATTGCCTAGAGTGCTCTACAGATGTGACAATTTGGTTCAGTGAAGGAGTGAATAACTGACCAAATATGTTAAAAGGTTTTTGATTGTCAGTTTGGTCATAGATAAGAAATTAAGTCTTTTAATACTTGGGCACTTACTGATTTCATAAGAACATAATCTTAGGTATATTTTGAGTTTAATTTTGACATTATTGCTAGTCCCCCAGGCTTGAAAGAAGAAAATATATCACTTGTTCACTTCTTGTGGGAAAAACCACAAGATATTTATCATAAAAACAGGGATAAAATGGTATTATTACTGTGATCGTAGATAAGTAACATGTTTTCCTATCCTTGACTGTATTATGGCCAGAAGTTTCAAGTTAAAAATAGGGCAGGGCCCCAGTTCTGAAAGCCTACCAAACTTCTGTGATGTCAGCTAAAATTTCTGTGGTACTGCAAAAATCTGAGGGGAAAAAAAAATCCTGAGTTGGCTGTAAATACAGTTAATATTTCCCCTTTAACTCACAGACTTCCTGATGTTTGTGAATCTCTATAGCTGAGCTTTGATGGGTCTGGTCTCAGGAAAAACACTTTATTTTAATGCCTCTTCTGGGATTATGGTTTCAGTGGCAATACCCTTGCTAGTTTTGTCTTGTTTGAAAGAAAACTAAAAGTAGTGTTACACTGGAAACATTTCCACCTCTGAAAAACCTTCCTGAATTAATGCAGGCCTTAGTGTGACATCAAATTGATTATCTGTGTTTAAAGAACTATACTGTACTTACTGTGGCTAGTCTGAACTTGAACATCTGTTTATCATTTATTCATCTATCCATTTATCAAACATATGTTAAGTCTCTGTTGAGTTTAGGGTCACAGCATTGCACAACTTCAGGGACACCATGCACCTTTTGTCAATGCAATAGAGCATGTAGAGTGAAGGAGGTTGGTAATGCCAAGACACCCTTACCAGGCTATCTGTTCAGCATTAGGGTGTACAAAGCCAAATAAAACATGATACCTTCTTTTGGGAGTCTCAAGCTAAGGAGGCAACCATGTAACATGTAATTAGAGTAACATGTTATAGGTGTCATGCTGGAAACCTGTACAGATTAGAGTGGGTCCAGAGGAAGGAGCCCCTAATTCTGTTGGCCAAAACTATTGAGGAGTGGGGTGCTTGGTCAGGAAAGGCTTCATAGTGGTGGGACTTGAGCATAGTTAGAGTAGAGAAGTGGACAGGTGGGGAGAAGGGAACTGGTATTGCTGGCAGAGAGCACTGGGAGAGCCAAGCTGGACAAGGTGAACCAGCCTGGACTGTGCATAGAATAGCTGTGTAGCAGGTCACAGTGTGGGGCTGCCTTGAGGAGACGGCAGGAGAATCATGTTGGAGCAAGAAAGTAGAGAACTTTATTGCCTTTGTAAGAAATTTGGACTTTATCTTGTAGGCAAGTGGGCAGTCATTGGAGAGTTACAGTTTATGTTCTCTCTAGATGAGAGAGATGAGATGATCTACTAGGAGTGGATGGTCCTCTTGTTCTGAGACAGCATAGAAATCTTGAAGCAGAAAAGAGGTAAAATCCCCTTTACAATGTAAACATTTTATAAAGATGGCAAATAATGGGCAAATAATGAAGTTTAAGGGAGTCAAGGGGAGCCTGCAAAGTGGTTTGAATGCAGAATTCTTCTAGATTTCTTTTTTTTTTTGATTTTTCATTCATGTATTTATTCCACAATCAAAATAAATCGTAATTTAAAGCCATAACATTTTGAAAAGGTAAAGGAGACTTTGTGTCACATCGGCATTAATAAAACAACACTGGTCTAAAGTACAACACTAAACAGGTGTTTTCTGCTCCCAAGGTGGAATAAATACATAACAATTACACTTAAAATTTCACTAAAGATCTGGGAGGAGGCAAGTAGCCCTTGGAAATATACTGTCCAATGAACAGAGGCAGGCTGCAGATAACTTTTCTTAACATTTTACTGCAAGAAGGAAAAACCCCCAAGGCGTCTACTAGCGCAAACCCCTGTTTCATGCTCCTGGCCTTGGTTCTTCCTTCCTTCCTCAATCACATCCAAATCCAGAAAGGCCTCTGCACCCCATGCTCAAAAACACCACTGTGAATCCCCAAGGACCTCAGCACAGACTGTTGTCAATGAGTCTGTGTGCGACCTTCCTCCAGAACCTCCAGGGAAATCAGGAGCCTAAAGAGCAGCAGCATCTCTTTAAACAATGGTTTTAACTATCCAATGAGCTCTGATGGACCATGTGCATTTCATAAACAAACCAAAATAGTGCCTTAGTATCTTCCTATTTCTCTGGGAAAATTTAAGTAAACCATTCAAGTAAAAAAGAAAAATGTTTACAGAGCAGTGAAAAATGAAAATTCAAAGGGTTTATGCCAAAAAGCAAACCAGTCCTCTGCAGCCTAATTCATTTGTTTCTGGGCCGCGAAGCCATGTAGAGAGCAATTAGGCAGTAGATGGTCCCCCCCAGCGTCAGCGCCATGGTGGTCTGGTAAAGCATTTGGTCAGGCAGGCTTCGTTTCAGGTGGATAGGCACACCGTCGGATTTCTGGAAAAACTTCTGTAGCTCAGGAACTTTGTTTTTCCCAGCATAATCATATACAGCAAAATCAGAACTCAGTTTAGTTGGTGTGGCAAATATGATAGGCGGTGCTTCTGTGGAAACCACAGGCCTTAATCCCTGCGGGCTATAGGCGTCGGAAGCCCATGTTCCAGTCAACTTCTGCGTGAAGCCACTAAACTTGTAATACATGACGCCCAGTGTCCGGCTTCCCGCAGCCGCTACCTGCGCGACTGCCCCAGAGAATAGATTTCTTTTTTATTAAGATTTTTTATTCACTTGTGAGAGACAGAGAACAAGCAAGCCCATGAGCTGGGGGGGAGGAGCAGAGGGAGAAGCAGACTCCCCGCTGAGCAGGGAGCCAGACCCAGGCTCCATCCCAGGATCCCGGGATTATGACCTGAGCTGAAGGCAGATGTTTAACCAACTGAGCCACCCAGGCGCCCCTGGAATTCTTACAGATTTTTATGATTTTTTTCTCCACAGTCTTTTTATGTTTATGTAATATCGGATAAATCACATTATTGTAGTAACAACTAAAGCTGGCATAAACTGACAGAACAAACACTGACTCTCAGTAACTGTAATTCAAGAAGTCAAGTGAGGGAGAGCTGGAGCATTTAGTGTGTGGAGGCATTGGTCAGGATCTTTTAGAGAGGGTGTAGAGATTATTGGTTATGTAGGTGATAGTCAACACAGTTTCTACTGTATTTACATTGTGAGTATTCTATAGAGGCGCCTAAAAGATGAAAGTTCTTGACATCAGTTATATTTTGATAGACTGAGAATTCCTCCTTTCTAGCCATCTGACTTAAAGTACAAAGGGCCAAAAAATTTAAACTTTCATCATTTAGAAGTATGTTTCTTTTTTTTTATCTTTACAAAATGTGTTATCCAATGAAGAAGACATTGTTTTCTCCTTATTTTTGGTAATGTATGTCTGAAATGGGATCCCAGAAACTTTGTGCATCATAGATAAAACAGGTGCCTCCACAAACAGTTCATCTGAAATCAGGGTTGCTTAATTGAAGGTGATGGCCTTTAGTGTTTCCTTTGATATTTTTTTTTTGAAGATTTTATTTATTTGACAGAGAGAGACTGCGAGAGAGGGAACACAAGCAGGGGGAGTGGGAGAGGGAGAAGCAGGCTCAGGGAGCCCGATGTGGGGCTGGATCCCAGGACTCAGGAATCATGACCTGAGCGGAAGGCAGATGCTTAACGACTGAGCCACCCAGGCGCCCTCCTTTGCTTTTTGTCATGTGGTTTTGCTTTACTCTTCCTATTTACAAAAATAGTTTCATGTGCATAGACAAGAGCAAATATTTTACATTAATAAAATTGATTGAAAGGGAATGACTAGTGCTGTCTAGATTTTTTTTTTTTTTTTTAGATTTTGTCTTCTGGCCTGATTGGGTATGCAGGCTATAAGGGTTGTTTTTGGAGAAAAGGGCACCAAACTAGACGTACCATGAGCATGATAATCAGACAGGAATACTGTATGCCAGGTACTGTCCTAAACATTTTACATATAATTCATGTAATTCTCATTGAGTTGGCGACAGTAATAATGGACATCTGGAACAATAGGCGAGGGCTGAACCCCAGCTGGGCTGACAGTGGTGATCTCAGGAGGCATAAATTACTGGGCAGGGACATTCCAAAAATAACTCGGTAAGCCTTCAGAAGACCCACGGTTGTTATTTCTCTGTAGCGATTAGCAGCAAAACCCTTAAGTCATAGACGTTTTGACGATTTGGGCCGCGGAGCCGGGTGGACACAGGCTAAGAGCTGAAGCAGCGGAGCCGAGGGGAGGCTGGAGAGGAGCCCTTTAGGAGCTCCGGAGGCGGCGGGGGCCTGGGGTTGACGGGAGAGGGGAGGTGCCCGAGTGGGCGGAGCCTCCCGGCTTGTCTCCGGCGCCGACGTGCGCGCTCCCAACGCCGGGGGCTGCTGCCAGTCGCGGGCGGGGTGCGGTGCGGCTTTTGGTTTCTGGGACCTTCGGCACTCGAGCGGGGGAAAAAGCGTCCTCGGGCTCGCCGGGTTGTACTCGCGGCGGACACCGAGCCTGCGAGGTTCGTCCGGCAGCCCAGGAACGCCGTGGGAGCGCTCAGAGTCGCTTGCCACGTTGGGGTGGGGAAGGGGCTCTGCGGCCCCGGCTGTGCGCATGCGTGCTGAGCGGTGACCCTGCGACTGCGGCTTCGTAGGGCTACTGTGCTCTTAGAAAGTGTTGGGGAACCTGGAAAGTTCCATGAATCATTGTTGCTTTTAACTAGAAAAGTCTTACTTGGCATTAGGTGGGGAATTTTGTGGTCGGTTTGCAATTACTGCTTCGGAAAGTTGATGTGCTGGGGTTGATTGTTCGTAGTTACAAGTATAAAGGTAGACCCAGCGCAGTAAACTATGAAGTGTAAATCTTAAAATATGCTGTTGTGATTTCATTATTTTATTTAAGTCTCTTCAGGTATTAACCTTTATTTGTGAGGTGTAAAAAAAAATTGCGGAGAATCAAATCCTGAATTTCAAAAATACTTGGTGTTGATAAAGAAAAGTGGACTGGGCCTAGGGTAAGACATATATAGCTTTTGAGTTAATGAACTGTGAAATAAAAAAACAACCTTTTATTTTTTTTAACAATAGAGAACGTGTGGAGAAGAAATGTCTCAAGGTAATGTGGAATATTATTTTATAATTAATTTTTTCATGAAAATGTGTACAGTCTAATATATATTGTCTTCATCAAAGATAACCAAATTGGCAGTATTACAAACTTAGTGTAAATCCATAGAACATAGGTGTATGCTGTGGATTGTTTTTTAGGGCGTAGGCTTCTAGCAATGATTTGGATGCCAGGAAAATAACTAAAAAGTGGACTCTTTTTTTTTTTTTTTTGGAGAGGAGGGGCAGGTGGGAAGGGTGACAGTGAGAGCTGGGAGGTGCAGTTAGAGATGATCTGGTCTAAGCCTTCAGACAGACAAATGGAACTTTGAGTGATTCTGATACAGATGTGGGATCAGAATCCAGGGCTCGTGCTGTGTCCTTCATACTTGGCACTGGTACTTGGCAGTGTTTTGATTATTCCCAAACTATCATGACATGCACAGGTACTGTTTATTTTGTTAGCATTATCCAAGTAAGAAAGTTCTCAAAAATTGTCATAATTTATTGAGGACTATGAAAATGGACAGAATCTTGAAGTTATTCCAGTAGCATTCCATTGGAATATTCATTCTTGGTTTTTTTTTTTTTTTGGAATGTTAATTTCAAACTCTAGTATTGGCAAATAAAAGTAATTTGTGGGTGTTAATACACTAAAGAAAGAACAAGCTTGTCAGAGAGCATCCAGGACTAGACCTTAGGAACCTTAGTTCTAAACTCAAACCTGTTATGGCTATGGCCTTTGGATGGGTCTTCTAAACTGTCTGGGCCTTAGTGGCTTCATGTATAAAATGAAAACAGTCTACTAAAGAGATGGCTAAGAGTTTTTCACCTTTAAATTTTGGTTTGTGTTGGTCACAAGAGGGTTATAGCTTTTTGGAAATTTTATGCTTAAACCACATGATAACAATTTAGCTTCGTTTGTGGTTAGTTGCTCAATTCTAGTTTCATGATCTTTGGATTTCATAATTAGATTTGTGCAAACCACTGTGCAAAAATGGCATATATAGTTTATAGAACTCTTTGGGGAAAACTCTAGGTTTTCCTGGAGCTTTATTTGAGGGGTGCATGTGTCCCTCCCTCCTCCTTTCCCCTACCCCCAAACCTAGAACAGGAATCCTAGAGGCAGGGAAGTTTTAGAAGCACTTAAACTTTTGACTTTGTCTCAAAAAATATATATTTAAGACAGTCTTCTTTTGAAGGTGGTGGGGCAGTGACAAATGGGCTCTAAAGACCCTTATTAACAAGGTGACTGCTTTGAAGGATAACACTCATTTTTTGAAAACATGTGATAAATATGTGGGGAAAATCAGTTTTGTAATTTAAATCTCATCCTGCCTTCTGTCCGTAGCTCATAAAGAGAAAACCCAATTTGTGTACTTTTGCCATATTTGTTCTTGTTAGTTTGTATAGTACTTGTGATTGAATTTAGAAGAGCTCCTTTAGGGATCTAGTAATAACAGCACTTACATGCATTTGAATTTGCCACCGATATCTAGAGCTGTGGGGTTTTGGCATTGTGAAGTACATTTTAACTTAATTTTATTGGTTACGTTTTACACTGTGCCAGGCATTATGGCATTCCACACAAATGGTGAAGACCTAAGAATGGGAAATTTGGCACAGGTGAAAGTTGGTTAATAATTGGAAGGACAGCTAAACATGCCTTGCATATAACTTTTAAGTGCAAAGCAAAGCAACTTGTAATGAGGTGATACTCCAGCTCTCCAAGTATGAGCCAACAGTTCACTTGTGTTGCACAGGTATTTTTCAAAGTCCCTACAGTGTGCACCAGGTGTACACTAATGCCTATGCTTAAAACAGGGCGGTTTACAGTGTGAAAAAGTTAGCAAAATAGTTGCAGCTGGTCTTTTGAGGGTTGGAAAAAATTTCCACAAAAATTCCTGTCAAATTTAGTTAAGGAGGCCCTTCCTTTTTAGAGGTCATTATGGCGAAACAGACTGAGATGTAACAAAATAACAGGGAAATTATAAAGTTTCTTGAATCTTTCAGTTTCTTAGAGGTCACTAGTTTCTCACTATGGATCTTTTCTCCTGACATGGTCAAAAGAAAGCCTATTATGCTTCTTCCTCCCATCGTTTTATTTCTGAGGATGGGGATCACACCACTTTTGTCCCTTTCCAGCTTGTAGCTAGCTATCTGGTCCTAAACCTAGGCTTGAAGATGCAGTCTAGGCCAAAGTTTGCTTCCTTTCAGATGAGGAGTCAGCCATTTGGGGGACTCTACACTGGGAAAGCGTCTGTTCAGCCAAAAGCTGCCTTCTTTGAGAAGGTCGTTGCCTTCAGAACTGATAGGAAGTTCTTTCATATATTGCCTCAGATGTCTCCTGTTTAATCCTCCTCTACTCCCTTTGGGTGATTCTGAACAAATATAAGTCTTTTTGACAGGTCACCAAGTATTTGAGTGTCGTAATCAAGTCCTCCAGGAGACTTCTTTTATCTAGGCTAAACAGCTTCCCTTCCTGGAGAAATTTTTCATGGTTTGAAGGTCCCTTTCCCTTTTCTAAATGCCTGTTCTAAAGTGTGTTTTTCAGAAAGAAATTTCAAATTTAGTTTAATAAACATGGA